CCAATTGGGACTGAGCAAGATGGGCCAGCACAACCCTGGAGCCCTCCCACAGTCCTTCTTCGACTGGCCAACCTCCTACATCCTTCCCTGGCCCTGATCGTGCACCGATGGGGTCCCTCGGCCTGGCTTGCACCCTCTCGCAATCCGGGACCCCTCAGGGGATGTCAGAGAACTGGTTTCGGCCCAATCTCACAGGCCAGGTCGAGGGACCCCACTAGTGCATGAATTCGTGCACGGGGCCTCCAGTAGGATATAAGCCAGAACTTCTGGCTAGTATGTAAAAGGAGTAGCATGCACTCTCTTTCCTCTTTCCTGCTGACTGGGATACAGCTGAAGGAAACTGAGACAGCCATTCTGCACTCAGAGATGGAAGTCATATAATGAAGAACATGTAAAATTCAGGCAGAGGCCCCTATCAAACTACCACTTACCTCTGAAAAGTTTAATGAGAGAAATAGATTTTGTTTAAATCACTCTATTTTGGGATCTTTTGTTTCTCCAGAAGCTTAAAATAAGCATACTCTAATATACTCTAACACACAACCTAAATGTCCACCAATAAAGCACTGGATAAATAAAGTGTGGTATAACTGTATACTAGCTGGCCATGAAAAAGAAAAGATAGGATTCTCAGTACCAACATGGAATAACCTCCAAGGTATAATACCTACATCCCACTAACAGCAGAGGTTCTCAACCCTGACAACATATTAAAACTACATAGAAACAGTCTAAAAAATACCTACATGGGACATCCCAGACACACTTAGAACATCTGAGTATAGCTATATCTGGGTCCAGATATAGTTCCTTTTTAAGCAGTTCTCAACCCTGACTGCTTCTAATGTGAATCAGGGTTGAGAAACAGGAGATGAGAGCCTGTGGATGTGGCACTACAGAAAGAAGACAGAAAACCTTCACTCGTCCTCTCTCACCATTCTTCTTTCAATCCCTACTCCTACCACATCTGGAAAGGAAGGAAAGGAAGGAAAGGAAGGAAAGGAAGGGGAGGGGAGGGGGGAAGGGGAGGAAGGGGAGGAAGGGGAGGAAGGGGAGGAAGGGGAGGAAGGAAGGAAGAAAAGAAAGAAAAGAAAAGGAAAGGAAAGAAAAGAAAAGAAAAGAAAAGAAAAGAAAAGAAAAGAAAAGAAAAGAAAAGAAAAGAAAAGAAGAGAAAAGAAAAGGAAAGAAAAGAAGAGAAAAGAAAAGGAAAGAAAAGAAAGGAAGAAAGAAAGAAAGAAATTAATTCAGGACCTGAGCAAGAGCAACTAGGGAGGAGAAACAAAAGCCCAGAGTCACCTCAAAGGGGCTGCCCTTTTGCCTGGCCAGATGTGTGTTCTTAGGCCTCTCACTAAGAATTACCACACATTTAGCCCTAACCGGTTTGGCTCAGTGGATAGAATATCACCCTGTGGACTGAAAGGTCCCAGGTTCGATTCCGGTCAAGGGCATGTACCTTGGTTGTGGGCACATCCCCAGTAGGGGTGTGCAGGAAGCAGCTGATCGATGTTTCTCTCCTCCCATCAATGTTTCTAACTCTCTATCCCTCTCCCTTCCTCTCTGTAGAAAATCAATAAAATATATTTTTTTTAAAAAAAAAGAAGAATTACCACACATTTAAATGTATGTGACTTGTCCAAGATCATCAAAAGTTACTTATCTGTAAAGAACCCATCTCTCTTAACCTAGCGTTCTTTTAATAAACTCATGTGAACATTTATTTGGGAGATATAATTCTTCCTGATGACTTATAAAATCAAGACTTTTATATTTCACTATGAAACCTATTGAATTCCTCAAAAGAATATGGTTTAAAGCTTCAGTGAAAGATCACCCAGACAGCCAAGCACCATCTGTTCAACAACGAACAAGAAACACTACAAAGGGAGCACATTTCTTTCACAATGATTTCAGCCCAAGTAAAAGATGGACTTTTTGCTGCAGTTTCCTCTTATTTCTCATATTGTTTATTCTGACACATCTGATTCCTTATCCAAACACCTTACATCTAGCAAAAATTAAGCCAAAGACAAGTGGCTTACTAACCTGCTGGACAAGCACACATTTTTTGCAAAGTAATCTAACAGCACTGCATGTAAATTGAGAAAAAGAATTATGGCAGCTTGCTAGTATATATATTACAAGGCACTAATCACTTGCCAAGGACTGCGCTGATCACTGTAGAAATCTCATAACAATACAATCAGACAAGTAGTGTTATTCCCATTTTAAAGATAAGAAAATTTAGGCTGAGAAGTTAATAATTTGCTAGGTATCATTCCTAGTAGAGAGTCTAAGTTGTAGAGCCGAAATTGTCACTGCTGCTTTCTTCAAAGTTCACATGTAGTTCATCGTATAAGGACACAGTAATTACTAGTCTCTCCAATATGAATCAAATTTGGGGGAAAAGAGAGAAACCTATTTATCTCTTCTCTTTCAAAGATATTGCAGTTTAGCATTACCTCCTTCATGATAGACAATCTCCTTTTCTCAAGATTAGAAATTTCCGGTTTCTGCTTCTTCCATTTTCTCTTCAAAGCTTTTTCTTGGAGTTCCCAGTGTACTAGTGCTCTATTCTTTGATTTGTGTATTTCATGTCGGCGTATCTATATAGAAAAAAGCATATAAAATAATGTTTCAGGAACAAAGAAGGTGCCTATTTAGGTGGTAGGACCACCTAATATACTTCATCTTTTTTCATTTTTTCTGATTCAACATAGGTATATTTATATATATTCACATTCAAAATTTTTACAGTCTTCTGTATACAGAAGTACTAGACCTAGATAAAAGACAAAATAGGAAGTATATTAATTTCTATATTTGTAAGGACTAGCCAATAAACTAGTGCTTTTCAAACTGCATGCTAGGACTCATTTGATGGTGGTAAAAATCAACTAGTGGGTCAAAACCAACATATTTTAAATAAAATAGAATAGAAAAAATTAAGACACATCATATATAATAAAGAATTGTTTTATTAAACTTTTCAGTTACATATGTATGTACATGTACAATATGTACAATTACACACACTGACTGAGATTAACCAAAGATCTTATATGCATACATGCATTACCTGTGGACACAGACAATAGGATGGCGAAGGCCTGGAGCAGAGTGGAAAGCGGGTGGAGGGGGCCAATGTGGGAGAAAAGGGGACATCTGTAATATTCTCATCAATAAAGATTTAAAAAATAAAATGCTTCAGCAAAGTTAGAAAAGGAGATGATAAATGAAGCCATTATGTAAAATTTTATTAACATTATACTGTATCTGGGTGAATACAGTATACTGTATATGGGAGCTCTTTATAATTTTGTCTGCACTTTCACATGAGTCTGAAATTTTTCATAATTAAAAAAATTTAATCAATTGAGTATCATTATTATCCTCAATGAATATTTAATGAGCTACCAAGATTAAGATTCGTAGGTCCAGAAAGATATGGAAGATATGTTTTCTACTCCTCAAAAGCACTAATCATCTTCCCAGGGAAATTGGGTAAATACAAAGATCAATGATAGGTATTAGACAGGATATGCTCAATGCCTTATGTAGGTAGTAAGTATAACACTTCAGAAGAGATATCAAATGTTGGGCAGCTTCAAAAAGTAGGACTTCAAACTTGCCACAAAGCTATAAAAATCAAGAGAGTGTGGTACTGGCATAAGGATAGACATATAGATCACTGAAATAGAATTGAGAGTCCAAAGTAAGCCCTTATATTATGGACAACTGACGTTCAACAAGGGTGCTAAGAAAATTCAATGAGGATAAAATAGTCTTTTTTAACAAATGATGCTTGGAAAACTGGATATCCATTTGCAAAAGAATGAAGCTGGACCTCTACCTCACACTATATACAAAATTTAAATAAAAATGGATCAAACACCTAAACAATAAGAGCCAAAACTATTAAACTCTTAAAAGAAAACATAGGTGATTACCAAAGGGAAAGGGGTGGAGGGAGGCAGAAGAAGAGAAAGGGGAGATAAATGGTGATGAAAGAAGACTTGACTTTGGGTGGTAAACACACAATACAATAGACAGGTGATGTGTTAAAGAATTGTACACCTGAAACCTATATAATGTTATTAACCAATGTCATCTCAATAAATCAGTGATGGCAAACCTTTTGAGCTCGGCATGTCAGCATTTTGAAAAACCCTAACTTAACTCTGGTGCCATGTCACATATAGAAATTTTTTGATATTTGCAACCATAGTAAAACAAATATTTATATTTTTGATATTTATTTTATATATTTAAATGCCATTTAACAAAGAAAAATCAACCAAAAAAATGAGTTCGAGGGTCACCTCTGACACACATGTCATAGGTTCGCCATCACTGCAATAAATTCAATAAAAAAAAATTTTAAAACAATGAAAAAAAGAAGAAAACATAAGAGTAAATCTTTGAACTTTGGGCTAGATAATGGTTTCTTAGAGATGACACTGAAAGCACAAGTAATAAAAGAAAAATTAGATAAATTGCACTCGATCAAAATTAAAATCTTTTGTGCTTCAAAGGACATTATCAAGAAAGTGAAAAGACAACCAAAAGAATGGAAAAAAATATTTGAAATCATTTCTCTCTTAAGGAACTTGTATCCAGAATATATTAAAAAACTCTTACCATTCAACACTAAAAACACAAATAATTCAATTTTTAAAGTGGAAGAGGGAATAGAGGAGATAATGGCGATGGAAAAAATAAAATAAAACAGAAAAAAATAAAATGACTAAAAGATTTGAATAGACATTACTCCAAAGATACCATGGCCAATCGTGACCAATAAAATAAGCACATGAAAAGGTATTCAACTGTTCAACATCATTAGTCATTAGGGAAATGCAAACCAAAACCACAAAGAGATTACATTTTATACCCACTAGGAGAATGAAAACCAAAAAGATGACAATAACAAATTGACAAGTGATGTGAAGAAATTGGAACCCTCATATATGCTAGTGAGACTATAAATTACAACCACTTTGGAAGACAGTTTGGAAGTTACTCAGGAAGTTAAGTAATATAGATATCGTAAGTTGCAGCAATTCTGCTCACAGGTATATACCCAAGAGAACTGAGAACATATTTTCACACAAAAACTTTACATGAATGTTCATAGCAGCATTATTGATAATGGTAAAACAACCATTTGACTATTATGAATGTCCAGAACAACCCAAATGTCCAGAAGAGTCAAATCCATAGAGACATAAAGTAAATTAGTTGAAGCCAAGGATTTAGTGAGAAGATGTGTGGGAGTGCATAGGAAATAATGGGTAGAGAGTTTCTTTTGTTGGGTGATGGAAATGTTCTATAATTAGAAAGTAATGATGGTTGCATAACTGTGAATATACTAAAAAAATTAAATAAACTGTACACTTTAAGAGGCTGGATTTTATGGTATGTGAATTATATCTCAATAAAGCTGTTTATTTTTTAAAAACTATATATAGAAGAAACTTTAAAAAAATAAGACTTGAACTAGCATAAGGTAACAAAGGAAGATTTGGGCAGCTAAAGAAGAAAAGAGGGAAACTGTTCCAAGAAAGGAAAATAGAATTGGGACGCAAATACGGAAATATAAATGGCCCGTTCAAGTAATAAATTACTACATTGACTAGACCAGTATGTTTGTACAGGGAAGTAATCGTAAATACTGATGCTGAAGATATCTATAGATAGGAAAAGATGACAGATGTATACAGGGCAATACTAGACTAGAGAAATCTAACTAGGAAAGTTCTAATACATGCTAATTGATATTCTTAGGTAAAATCAGGACGTCCAGAAGATATGCTTTTTGATTTTATATAGACATAAGCAAGATAAATATAACAACTTCTGAGAAGTACCTCTGGCTCCTATTCTGAAGGTTAGAAACCAAATATCAAATTAAACACTAAACAAATATTAACTTTTGATATTAAACTTACCAGATCTTCAGGAGTTGCCCGATGAACTGTTAGATCATTCACAGTATTCTATAAAAAAAGATAAACTTCCTTTAAAGAAAAAAAATGTTTCCTATAAAATGTTAGTATTTACTGGATTTTTTTAATAGGGTTTTAAAGTTTATTCTTTAGACTAGGTTAAAAAATTTTTTGAAATCAGTTTAAGTTTCTTTTTTATGACATTGATTTTCCTTTTTTTCTTTACATGCCAGATGGATCTCAGTTAAAAGACTATATTTCACCCAGCTGGTGTGGCTCAGTGGTTGAGCATCAACCCATGAACCAGAGGCCACGGTTCAATTCCCAGTTTGGGCACATGACCAGGTTGTGGGCTCAATCCTCAATGTAGGGTGTGCAGGGGGCATTCTCATCATTGATGTTTCTATCTCTCTCTCTCTCCCTCTCCCTTCATCTCTGAAATCAATAAAAATGTGTATTTTTTTAAAAGACTATATTTAATTAAGCATGCTACTCTCCAAGAAACCTTTCTTTGAAGAGTTAAGGGGGTTAGTCATCACATTTTAGCAAGATAAAATCTTTATTTTAAATTGAAATAAAATTATTGTATATTTTTACATAATATATAAAAGACATGTATTTATTTAAATTGAAAAAATGCGATTTTTGTTATTCAAACTTCTTACCATGTTTTTTTCACATTCTTCAGAAAGTTATAACTATTAACAGATATTGTTTGTGTGTCTTTAGATGTATGTACTGGGTTTTTGTTTTTTGGGGTTTTTTTGGTAAACCTCACCTGAGGATATTTTCCCATTGATTTCTAGAGAGAGTGGATGAGAGAGGGAAAGATAGGGAAACATCAGTGTGAGAGAAACACATCAATTGGTTGCCTCCTGCACGTACCCCAACCAGGGCCCCGGCTGGGGAGGAGCCTGCAACCAAGGCATGTGCCCTTGACTGGAAGCAAACCCGGGACCCTTTGGTGTGCAGGCTGATGCTCTATCCACTGAGCCAAACCAGCTAGGACTGTACTGGGTTTTAATGTCTGGAAATGAATTCAAATTCCTGGGACCAAAAAGTCTTTCTTGCCTTAGCCGGCTTAGCTCAATGGATAAAGCGTCAGCCTGCAGACTGAAGGATCCCAGGTTCTATTCCAGCCAAGGGCATATACATGGGTTGCGGGCTCGATCCCCAGTAGGGGGCGTGCAGGAGGCAGTTGATCAATGATTCTCTCATCGCTGATGTTTCTATCTCTCCTTCTCCCTTCCTTTCTGAAATTAATAAAGAAATATATTTAAACAAAAAGCCTTTCTTTCCAGGAATGAGTATTCTCAATTTAAATATTAATATGGATTACTTTTAGGTATCTTGTAGAAAATTAAGTATCTTACAGAAAATAAGGACTACATTCACCAAGCAGATATACATTATATTAAAACAATGAATAAAGCAGGGTAGTATATAATTCAAATAAGTATAAGCTAAAGCTGTAGTTTTCAGACTGCATTCCATGGAATGAGACACTTATAAAAATTCCTAAGAGATAAACTGTGATCACTATAGAAAGGTTCAATTTGTGATCATGCAAACACCATAAGCATCGAACCTATCATAATAAGAGACAGAGTTTGTATAATTTCATAAAATGTGAAAATAGTCACTTAAGTAAAAAGGCACAAAACCAACATGGCAGGGACCACACTGCACAACTCGGGGAGGGACCATTAACACCCGTGTCTATGTAAATAGTACTCCTGTGAAATCGTGCAGTGCTCAGCCTAGACAGCTGTAAATAGCAGTCCTGCAATCTGGGCCTTTCCATAATGACTTCAGCCATCGTGTTATACAGGCATGGTAAGGCAGGACATAAAACAAGCTAGAGTTTTACTCTTAAGAGAACTATAGAGAACTAAGTCTGGTGAAATAGCTGTTGATGTATTCAAAGACTTAAATTTTCGGCCGTAGTTTATATTTAGCTCAAGGCTTTTCTATGCTGAAACTATTAGTCCTTTCATATTGATTTAGAAACGTACAAGATACAACTATAAGATCATGAGGATTTTTTTTAATAATCATAATAGAATTAAGGCATATAAGTGATATGCTTGGAATTAGTACTCGTGGGAGAAAATATAATTTCATTAATACTCCTGCAGCTTAAAACAATTTTCTTTTAAAATTGCCTTTAAATCTAATTTACAAGCCATTTCAAAAAACATCTCACTGTTTTTATCAAAACAGCATTATTCAGTTTATCTCTCCTCCTTCATTTAACATTCACTCCAAATGACTTTCGAGTTCAGTCTACCTTCAAAAATCAAATTTTTCTAGCACTGGAGATAATAAAAAGTAAATGAGAAAGGTTCTGATGTAATTTCACATGATGGGTTTCCATTATGTTTTCAACAATAGTAGCACTCTGAAGGGGACAATATTTATATTAAAGTGTGCATTTTTTTCCTTTTCATCAGTATTATTACCTTAGAATCACACTTTATAAAAAATATTTTATAGCCAATCAGATGGCAACAAAGCAATGTAAACACAGAAACCCCTCTGTCCCACTTCCAAAGGCCACCAGTTTGCCCAGGATAATTGGCTAAAATGGTTGTTCACAACCCAGAAGATTCCAAGTCTAAAAGAATCCCTGATTTCCAAACCAGTCCCCGACTAGTTACTCTCCACAACAGGAAGCAAAGGCACCTAAAGTCTCATAGTCCAAACCCAAGTGCCAGGCCACAAAAGACAAAAATCCCCTTGGTGATACCAGGCAGTATGCAGCATAGAAGCCATGGATCATGCCCAGGTACTTGAGACTATCTTTTTATCTTAAGAGAAGCTTTGTACTGCAAGTGACCCCCCCCCTGGAGATGAGCAACAAACAATTTGAGGGGTAAGAGAGCATGGATCACCCACTTTTTCAGCCAAAAATGCCACTCATGTGATTACGGCATCACTGGTTAATACAGGGAAATCTAAAAAACTACCCCCAAAATTCAGACATCAATGACACAGGTTAGCTAGAGTGGCCTTAAAGCAGTGAATTCTTAAAGTAGAGGTAGAGGCAATTTTAAAAAATAAAAAAATAAAAACACTCCCCAACTTCTTAAGGTTACAGTTCTTCAAAAGAAGTAGAGGGTACAGCCTCAACTCCTATATTCTAAAAAAAACTCCCCAAAGGATTCTGCTCTTCCCGCCAAGACCTAGAATGTAACATGCCCAGAATCCCATTCCACCCTATTACATGCTGCACCTGATTCAGAGTGCCATTCTGAGTGACTAGGGCCATGTCAGCACACCTATTCCTCAGAGTAACATTACATTGCTTCTTCTGCCACCTAGACTTACATCCCATTCTTGCTTCACTGCCGTTTTCTTCTTTACTTTCAGTGCTTTCCTTCCTCCTCCCCGGGAGCTGTAACGGTTCACTCGGACAAATGACATCTAGGAGTAATAATCATATCAAATTCTTAATACATAAGAGAAACTAGTAATTAAGCATCACTAGAGGAGGTGGAGGGGGAACAGACCTAGGAAAATAAGTTTTAAAACATCAGAAGAAAAATTTAAGCATAATGAAAGGAACAAACTATCAAAAAACTTGGTTCTTTTACTTCACAATTAATAGAAAACTGTGATAGTTAACTATAATAAAAAGAATTTCAAAGCAATAGCTTGTATCTATTTGCTTAGTAAAAAACTCTAGGAATGCAGATATTATGACCTAAAGCAGAGTGCTAGAACAGTAGTAATAAGGTTTGTCATCAGTTATATAAATTCACAATTAATATAGAAAATGTCAGTCACATGCTAACAGTATGAATGCAAGAGGAGGAAGGCAAAAGAGAGAGGGAGTTCTTTTTTAAGCACTCTAACACTCAAATCACTATTAGATACATATGTGCTTAGTATAAATAAAGGTGGCAAAACTTTAGAGAACAAATGAATTATGATACCATTTCTATAATACTAAATGGAGGTGATTAATCTAAACTAGAATTTGGAAATGGCCAACATTTGCTCAGCACTCTTAAAATAGCAATACTAAGGACACTGGACTAAACATTATAAAATTTTAAAAAGACTCACAGTCCCTGAATACTAGCATTTTTTAAAAGCAACATGATTCCCAGTCTAAAACTTCTTTATACACCTAAATAATCATAGAACTTTCCACCTGAACCCCAAAAATAAATCACATACAACTTAGAAAATAACACTTAAGTTTTATGATGGTGCTAGTGATGATGTGATCATGGTGATCATGATGACAGTGATGGTGGTAATATGGCAATAGCTAACACATATTGAGTGTTTTCTACAATCCAGGCACTGTTCTAAGCTCTTCCCACATATTATCTCCTTTAATCCTCACAATAATTCCATGAAGTATTTACTATTTATTACTCATTTTAAAGACAAGAGTAATAGTTAAATGACAGAGAGTTAACCAACTATGAAGGTGATACAATAAGTGTCAGAGCCATAAATACCAATTTAAAACGATATAGAATGAAACAGAAGTCCAAACAAACCCTTATATTTATGATCAGTTTATATTCAACAAGGGTGCCAAGAAACAATTCAATGTGGAAAGAGCAATCTTTTCAGTAAACAGTGCTGGAACAACTGGATATCTTCATGAAAAAAAAAATGGCCGTAACCGGTTTGGCTTAGTGGATAGAGCGTCGGCCTGCGGACTGAGGGGTACCGGGTTCAATTCCGGTCAAGGGCACATCCCCTGGTTGCGGGCACATCCCCAGTAGGAGGTGTGCAGGAGGCAGCTGATCGATGTTTCTCTCTCATCGATGTTTCTAACTCTCTATCCCACTCCCTTCCTCTCTGTAAAAACTCAATAAAATATATTTTTTTTAAAAAAGCTAAAAGTAAAAAACACCTAGAAGAAAATATAAGTTCAAATCTTCATGAATCTTACTAGTAGATTAAGAAATGGTTTCTTAGATTTGACACTAAAAGCACAAGCAACCAAGAAAAAAATTAATTGGACCATATCAAAAATAAAAACTGTTGTGTTTCAAAGAACAGCATTAAGGAAGTGAAAAGAGTGGAAGAAAATATTTTCAAATCATAAATCTCATAAGGAATGTGCATTCAGAATATATAAAGAACTCTTAAAACTCAACAATAAAAACAAATAATCCATTTTTTAAATGTCTAAGGGTCAATATGCACATGAAAAGATGTCCAACATAATTAGTCAATAGGGAAATGAGACCTCACACCTGGTAGGATGGTTATAAAAAAGATGGAAATAACAAGCATTGGCAAGAATGTGGAAAAATTGGAATCCTCATACAGGGATGGGCAAAAGTAGGTATATAGTTGTTTGTATGGAAAAGAATATAATAATTAATAAATAATAATACAGAATAAACTCACATACTTACTACTGTAAACCTGCTTTTGGCAACCCCTGTATTATACTCTGTCTTAGGAGAAAGAGCAAAAGATTCTTTCCTGCTGGCCTTGAAAAGCAAACTGCCATGTTGTGACTGCCTATGAAAATGGCCTGGAGCAGGAAACTCAAACAACTGTGGGCAGCCTCCAGCAGAAAGGTAGTAAGAAGCCAAGACCTTTAAGTCATACAGCCGCAGGGAAATGCATTCTGCCAACAACCTGAGTGAGGTGAACCTGGCAGCAGATTTTGCCCAAGCTGAGCCTCCAGAGGAGAATGTAGACCACCAATACTTCAATCACAACTTTGAGACCCTACAGTCTCCAGTTAACCATGTCCAAACTCCTGACCCACAGAAGTTGTGAGATAATAAATGAGTACTGTTGTAGAAAGCGCCTGGGAAGGCACATGAGCATTTCTTTGATTATTGTCAGCTGAGTCCAGTGGCGTTGGCAGAGCCACGTCCTGGAAACATACCGTGCCAGAGGCAGGTATGTTGTCAGCCTGACCTTTATTTTAGCTCAGGTGCCAGGGGGTGGGTTTCATTATTTAAGTTCAGCCAGGCGCAAGGAACAGACACAATTATCGGGGCTCAGCCAGGAGTGACAATTACAAAGAAGCTACAAGAATGAAGAATTGCAGCTTGATCTTTAACCATGATTTCCCATAATTTCCTTTGTCTTAAACTCTAGTAAAACTTCCTGGAATCATACTGCATAAAATAAACGCGCTGCACCGGCTCTGGGTCACTGTCTCTCCATCAGAGGGCCAGCTGTCCCACTCTGTCCCAGCTTTCTCTACTGTCTCTATGTCTGGCTCTTTCATTTTCTCAATCCCCCGTCGCCCCTACTCAGGATTGCTGTGCTGGTCACAGAAAAGAGAGAAATACTTATATACTGTTGTAAGCCACTAAGTTTGTGGTCATTTGTTATACAGCATAGAAAACTAACATACTGGCCAACTCTAAATTCCAGCCTCTGTATGGTAAAATCACAAAGGTGTAACCAAGCTATGAGCCTCCTCTGGACTTCCTTTCACTAACCTTCATGAAGGAGAGGCATATTTCAGCACTTCTAGTCACTGAGCTCCAGTTACACTTAAAAACTTTGGCAACACAGGGACCATCTTTGTGCTGAAAAGTGTCCTCTTGAACATCACCAATAATGGTGACCACATTTTTCTCAACCAAGGAACAGATAAGGAGTCAAATAATTAGCTAAGGAGTCAAATAATTAGCACAGCCTAGAAAACCTAAAATACCAATAGCTTCCTAATTACTAAAAATATTGGACCCTTCCTAATTGCTAAAACCATTGGGCTCTTCTTATTTCTCAGGCCTTTCCAGCTCTGCAGGCTCCCACTCCTGGAAGACCCCCCCTCCCTTGGCTCCCACAATACTTTCTCCTGGTTTCTCTCCTATTCTTTTCTCCATTTCTTTGCGGGCTCTGTTGGCCCCTCCTCACAAACCACATAATCAAGATCTTTACCCAGTTCTATCTCAGTCCTCTTGTCTTCCCACTGGAGACCATCTCTCTTCGTCCTGTAACTGTTTTTGAGAGTCTACCACATACCAGGCACTGGCAGGACACTGGAGATACCACAGTAAACAAGTCTAATGAGGTGCTGGCTCCCAGGGAGCTGAGTTTCTAGATCACCAAGGGGGAGTTCACATCTTCCCCCACTGATCTCTCCCACGCCCCTCAGCAAAGTTATGAATGCACTGGACACACACACACACACACACACACACTGTGAAATGAAATAAATCACAAATCAAGAATCCACACCTTTCTGCAAAACACCAAATGTTCATTTCCAACTGCCTTTTGTACACATATCTCAGATACAGTGGAGTCCAAATACAGCTTACTCCCCATACCCGCCCCCACCCCCCCCCCCACACACACACACACGTACATACACACTGCCAACCTCTAGTTCTTGATATCTGATTGGCTTGCTCAGTAAATGCTGAGTCAGCTCAACCTACAGAATTACCATCCTTCTAGGTGTTCCAGTTTAAAGCCTTAGCATCACCTTCTCTTCGTGTCTCACAGTCAGTCAGATGCCAGAATTTATTCTTTCCCTGAAATACCTCCCTTCTTCGTCCCCTCCTCTTCATCTCTACTATAAATGATTTTGCCTAGATTCTCGTTATTTCCCCTAATTGATCTTCCTTTCACTAATTCGCTCACTCACTTCATCATCCACATGTTATTTCAACAAATATTTTGAAAGCACATGCAAGAGCCAGGTACAGAAACTGCAAGAAAATAGAGTAGTCTGCACCCTCACAGAGCTTAGAGTTTATCAGACCACAATTAAATGAGTAATTGTAATAAGAGAGAATTGTGCCAAGTAAATTCAGTGTCGTGGAAACACCTCACTCTGTGTAGTAGGAAAAGCCTGCCTCTTCCCTCGAATTTCCCCACAAATGTTTAAGCTGAGAGCTCCAGTTAATGAATAAAAGTTGGAAGAGGGAGAAAGCATGCTGGGGAAGCGGGGCGTTTACAAAGGGTGTGAGGAGTTCGGTTTTACCAACAAAGATTTTCGATGGTAAAAGGCTAGAAAGACAATGAAAAGAAAGGCAGAGACCAGAGCGCGGACTTGTGAGCCACAGCAACGTGAACACCATCCTAAAGACATCGGGAAGCCACTGAAGGATTTTAAGCAAATCCACCCTGGCTGGTGGAAAACTGATCAAAGGAAAAGGAGACATCTTTCCAAACACTGTCCCCTCAATCGATACTGCCCAGACAAAAGACCAGAGTACAGCTCGAACGCCTCGCCTCCCCCAGCCCTCCCTGCAGAAGAATCCAACTCAGCCTGGCACCCAGACCCTCTCCCCCACCCCACCGCTCCCTCCCCGTGCGGCCAGGCTGCCCTCTCCAGTTTTCCCTCCTCCCAAGTCTCCCCCAATCCTAAAACAAAGCTCTGGCTGTCACAGAGAGCTCTACCCATCCTTCACGCCCTGTCTGGAACTCCCGTCAAACTTTCCTGCCCTGCTCCACGGGGTGAACGCCCACTCGGTCCCCAAACCCCATTCCGGCGGCCCCTCCGGACAAGCCCTTTCCTGGCCATCCCACCGACTGGAGGAACCCTCCGGGTCCCCGAGTGCGCTGGGCACTGTTTCTCCCGCTAGACCGTAAACCCCTCGAAAGCCACCCAGGAGGGCCCCCCCCCCCCCCCCCTGTTCTAGATCCGGGCCAAATTCCAGAAAACAGTAGGGTGCTCACTTAGGAACCCGGAGGCGGGGGGTTCTTTGGAGGCGCCCCCTAAACACAAACCCGTCGTGGA